ATATCTGAGTTGGAGCTGGACTGGCATTAAGCAATAGCGCCAATCAAATTTATGGCAAAATTATCAATTTAATGAATAGGCTGTGACTTCAGTATTATTTTTGCTTTTTGTTACGGCATACTAAAATACAAATACAAATATTCATGCGTAAAGACGTGAGAGATTTACGTTTTTGATACATTCAATATAAGTCAACCAATAAGTTAATCAAAAACGTTGTAACTTTTGTATCACTTGGACTAAGCATAAATATCCTCCGAACAATTAAAATATTTATTTATTTAGCGCATGATTATTCTTTCCTCTTTAAAAGCAAATGGACTCTGAGCAACTTCTTAATCATGGTTTCTGTTATGAACATGGTATTGATGCTAAGAAAGACGAAAAGAAAGCTTTGGATATTTTATGAAAGCAATTGAATTAGGAAACTCAGATGCGATGGTTAATGCTGGCAATTGCTATGGTGATGGAATTGAAGTAGAAATAGATAAACAGAAAGCATTCGAATATTGGAAGAGGCCGGCTCGGCTGACTTGGATAATGCTCGTGCAATATGTAATGTTGGTTATTGTTATGAAAATGGTGTCACACTCGAATTCACCTCTTAACAGAAGTCAAGGACACAACGTTATGGTATGAAGACTATTGCTATGATGATTTGGGGAGGTTAATGGGCGTCGAGGATTTTATAAGGCTTTATCGAAAGAGGCAAACAACTCTACTATATATGAAGATATAGAAGGTTGTAAAATTTTAATAAATAAATCCTTTATCAAAACTATAAACAGTTTTACCTCTCTATAGTCACCTCCTATATAAGCACATTTTCTTTACCTTTATAAGCATATTTTTTTAAAAACAAACTATATATTATTAAATATAATAAATTTGACCTCTATAATTGTCGCACTTCTCTATAATCACACATTTTTGTATCCCAAGTGAGTGATTATAGAGAGGTTTGACTGTAGTTTTTTTTCGTGATAGTTCTCGGTTTTATTAGCCTATTATATAGATTGTTATGAGGTGATTCCCAAAAACCGGTTGGAATGCATCGGAGCTGGGCCAGAATTAAGAATACGTATCAGCTTGCTTAATGAATGAGCTATGGCTAGGGATGTTAATTTACTGTAATTTACTGTAATTTTATGTAAATTTACGTAATTTTAGTTAAGTTCCGGTAAAATTAGCTTTCATGTAATTTATTAAAAAATATTTATGTATTAAATACTAGTATATAGTGTAATTTGTTGTTATTGTTATTATGTAAAATTACATGTATTGTAAAACCGCAATCTATGTAACGCAACCCTGGCGTGACTATGATTGCTAACTTACATATAAGTTAAAATTTTACATATCGATACGTAAATTTTGCTTAACTAATGCAAATTACTAGTAAGTTATGTTATTTATAAATTTCGATTCATGCTGGTAGAAATTGTAACATATATTATGAACTACACAACCTATACCTCAAGTTATTTAAACTAATTTTGTTTCTTTCTATTGGTGATATTATAATTATGCGCACCGAAGGCAAGCATCGGTACTAGCAGGATATACTGTATAATAATTAGTTAATTATGAATATTTCGCAGTGATAAATAAAACAACGAATTCAACTTACTAAATTGTACTCTGTTAAGATTTGGTTTTCCCAATATGCATAAGTTGATTAACCAACTTTTTCAATGTAATTGGAGAATAAAGAGTGTAAGTTGCTCCCCCAACTTTTGCAATTAATTTTTTTGTCAACTCATTTCCTTTATTATTCGGCAATACAATAAAGATTATTGCCAAATTATTATTATTCCTTTCTAGTCTTCTTAACTCGAGTACAGCTTTCAAGGCCTCATCCTCATTATTTTCAGAAAGGCTAACAAATACCATATCGTAAGCAAACTTATAATGTAATTCTTCATATTTTTTTGCTTCTTTAAAACCTTTGTCAAAAGTATCAAATGCATCAACTTTTTCGACATTTTTAAGATATTTTAGCATTACATTTCTCACATTTTCAATTGGATGAATTATTAGTATTCGCTTATGCCTTATAGTATAGCTTATTTGATCATCAACTTTTGTTCCTAATAATGAGGATGTAATTGATAAAAACTCGAAATTCCATGTAAACCAAAATTTACTTCCGTGTCCCAACTGGCTTTCTACATTAATTTCTCCTCCATTAATTTCTACTAGATTCTTACAAATTGAAAGGCCAAGACCTGCACCATCTTGCTTCTCGATCATTGACATGTCACCTTGTGGAAAGCTTTTCCAAGCTTGTTGCAGATCCATGCTATTATTAAACAATTTACCATTAAATATATGTTTACCCAAATATATTGTTTATAGTTATAAGTACAGAAGTAACCTACCCGATGCCAGTATCGTATAATTCGATTAATAGACATCCTTTTTTAGCAATTTGGCTATAGATTGGATTCTCATCAACTTTTTGTAATTGCATTGAAACAGTCATCATGATTTCACCTTTATCGGTAAATTTAACTCTATAGTAAAAATTTATAATTATAATGTAATATAATGAAAATAAAAAAAAATAAAAATATATAAAAATAATTACGCATTTGATAATAAATGATATAAGACTTGTCTTAGCCTATTTAATTAAAGATAAAGTAATAAGTAATACACTCTTATCCTTTGTGCGCTTAATACAGTGTAAAATAATATTAATCACCTTTTAGGATCGCTCTTAACATATCTTGGTATTAAATCCACCTCATAATTTATGATTAGCTCGATATTTTTATTACCAGCTTTTTTTCCGAATTCCTCAATTATATTCTCAAATAATTCTAATAAATCAAATGTACTATTTATTAGAGTGATTTTTTGTGCCTCTAACTTTGCTACATAAAGAATGTCGTTTATTATGGATAACACGACATCAGAAGCAGTTGATATGATATTAATCATATCCATTTGATTAGCTGTTAAAGTGTCACTCTCAAAGCAGGAAAGAATACCCACGATTGCACCTAGTGGTGTTCGTAGTTCTACAATAAGAATGAGATTAATTAGAATTATCAAATAAAAATTTTAGCAGCATACTAAGCAATAATATACCATGAGAAGTATTTGCTAAAATTTGACTCTTTGTATAACTTGCAACTTCAGCAGCTTTTAATTGAATTTCTTTCTCCACATATTCCTCTGATAATTTGGAATAGGTAACAGCTAAACTTATTTGATTAGATATTTGTTGTAATAACTCTACTTCAGAATCGAGCCAAATAGAGTTTGGAGGTCTATGAACTTTTATCCATCCCCAATAATTATCTTTTAATCTTAATTCTACAGATAATTCAGATACATTTTTATTAACATAATCGCAATATGTATCTAAATAAATATCTGTTCCTAATTTATTTTTATTATTTAAATTTTGAAACTGGATAAATGGTTGTGAATCAATTTCATTTTCATTTTCACTAAATTCCATGAATGGGTTGGTTATCGGCGTTATACTTTCAGTGCCTTCATATAATGCAACTATTTTATTACTTTTAGTGATAAACGTTCTTTCACATGGCAGTCTGTAATAGATTTCTTTAACAATGTAAAGTAGAGTTTCATCAAGATTTAATTTGGAAAGGATCTTGTTTGATATTGAAAGCAATAATTGTTTTGTTTCTTCTTGTTTATATTGTTGAAATAATATTTTATGACGAAAATATGAGAGCTTAATATTAGTGCGAATGCGAGTAATTAATTCTCGAGAAGAAAATGGTTTTAATAAATAGTCATCTGCTCCTTTATTCAAACCTAGAGATACATCAAAAATAAGGATGAATAAAATAAATACACTTAAAGTACTAATAATTTCATAGTTAATTACCTTGAATTTTAGAATCTTCAGCATTTGCAGATAACAATATTACGGGAATCAGTTGAGTTTTTACGCCAGATTTTAACACATCTAATAACTCATGTCCAGTCATATTTGGCATCATGACATCTATTAAATTCAGTATGATTTAATAATTGGTTATGTATAGTAAGTAGAGACGTCACGATTATAATTTACTTGCCACTAAGTATTAAATCAGGTAGTTTATTAAGCCTTTTTAAGACTTGAATAGCATCTTGGCCGTCACAAGCAGAGTATATGTCAAATTCTTTTAACAGATCCGCTAAATAATCTCTATAAAACGTTGCTGATAATAAGAAACAAATTTATAAAATTTCTAATATGATTAACAAATAAAATATTACCGCATATTATTATTATCATCAACAATTAAAATTTGATACTTTTTACTATCATCTTCAGTTAACATTGTTTTATTATTCATATTTTGATCATTGGTTGACTCTTGATCCATTATATTATATTGAGTTTTTGTTATACTATTTTTTATCCATTGAGAACTTTCTTCTAAGTAAAGTTGTCGATTAGTGTATAATTCTCGACCATGGTTTATTTGATTTTCAACGTTGTTAAAGTGTATTTGATTTGTTGATAAGTGTTTACATCCTATCGGAAACCAACATTTAAACGTCGTTCCATGATTTACTATTGAATTCACAGTGATGTCTCCACTATGGCGCGTAATAAACTCTTTTACGAGAGCCAGTCCTATTCCAGTACCTTCATAGCTACGTGAACCTTGAGATTCTACACGATAAAAACGCTGGAATATATTTGGAAGGGCAGTCTCCGGAATACCAATGCCTTTATTTAAAATAAAGACAATCCGGATATGTAGTAGTAATCCAGTTTTGAGATACGTATGTATTTAATTAATAGTTGTTCGGCACGAAGTGCCGAATAACTGAGGTATTTGCTGTATGCGATTTGATTGGCCGATTTTAAGCACTGAAGGTGCGTAAAATTCGGCCAAGCAGATCGCATTTGCAAATATCGGTAAGGTACCATAGTGTTCTAATATAGTAAAGCACGAGAGCGCTTTACTATATTAGAACACTATAGACCGTAGTTATGTGTACTTCGTGCTTGAATAACTGTTTTATCCGGCATTTATATTATTGAATTTTGCACTCCAACTGTTGACCGGCGTTTGAGATTTTAAATTTTTATGCATGTGAGTTACGCACGTTGTCCGGATATATTTTAAATCCTTAAAATAATTCGGATAATGTGTGTAACTCACGTACATAAAAATTATGACAGTTGGCATATGCAAAATTCAATAAATAGAAAATGCTGGATAAATTAGTTATATAGAGAGTAAATTTAACAAAAAAAACACTGACCTGTATCTGAAACTTCAAGAACTACCATTTTTTTATTATCTTTATAGTCAGTATATAGACTAATTGTTATAGATCCATTCCAAGTATGTTTTAATGCGTTCGAACCTTAAACAAACAAAATTCCTTAGTATGCATGTTTTAATAATGTAGAAAAAACAATATATTTTATTTTCGCTATGGCATATATGCTTATAAAACGCTTACAAAGATTAAAAACAATTGTTTCATACATAACATGATCCAAGTAGACTTTATCTCCTATTGCACGAGTTAACTCATCTTGATGTGGAATATTGATATTATAATCCAAGCCTAATGCTTTAACCATATTTTCGAAATCTGAAGCTAATTCTCGAGTAAATTCAGCTATGTTTGTTTCACGATAACGTGCATCTAATTGATTAGTTTCTATATTTGAAAACTTTGTAAGAAAGAAGTAAATATAATTAGTCTAAAATTAAGTTTAGTAATTTTTGTTATTAATATTTAAGAATATTATAACTTACTTGTAATAAAATGTTAATAAGTTTGAGCAATCGACGACCGTTACGTCGTATAGTTTGAAGATTCGAAATTATTGGAGCTTCTCGTGGACTAGCATTAATTGTTTCGTCAAGAGGTGAGAGCATTAATGATAATGGAGCTATAATAATGATAATAATAATAATTTAATAATAATAAGAATAAGTTTATTATTGCAATAAATTTTCTAAAAGGCAAATTAATAATAATTCATACTTTTTAGTTCGTGACTAATGCCTTGAAAAAATATCATTTTTTGATAATTTAAATCAGCCAATATTTTAGACCGTTTCTTTTCCTCTTCTATTGATTGCCCATGAAATAAATATGTATTCATTTGATTTGTGACTAGCTAACAAGTTTTACGCGTTTGAGTATTATATATAAATAATGAACATTAATTGTGCAAACTTTTCATACTTGCAAAAAATCCATATATTTCTTATCGAGTACTCCAAGTCGATTAACACCACAAATTAATACAGCTGATAAAGTTTGCCCTCCACAAAGTGAAATCTTTGTCGGTAATAATACAGCTCGAGATTCATCTTTTAAAAGAACTTTTACATGTCTTTCTTCTTTAATTACAAGGTGTATTGGCCAAGATTCACATTTTAAATATGAAAAAGTTACAGCATCCTGTTTTAATTCTATGTATGTGTCGCAATTCTTATTAACATCTTCGGCTAAATAAACTATCTCAGGTGTTTCTGGTAAATAATCAGGAATATCCCTTTCATCTTTACCATCTTTATCGAAGGTCGTGGAGATTAGTCGGGCGATCAACGATTCCAAACTAGCATTTAATTTGTGTTCGACAAAATAAATTAATGCATAAGAAATATCTATATTATTACTTAATACATCCGTCATAATATGACAGACACTTTCTAAAGATTCAATTTCTTCAAGAAATAATATGACGATATAAAGGTGTTAACAGAAAATATTCTGATCTAATAATTAAAAGTATAATTATGAATACCAACCAGGAACCCGCTTTCCAAATTCGCTCAGAGTTTTTAATCTTCTAGTATTTAAAATATTTTGAGTAGTTTCTTGTGCAATATCTAATATGGCACAAATTGTACCGTCTGATTTGAAAATTGGGCTATATGAAGTGGTAAAATAACCCTCTTGAGTATATCCAACACGCGGTACTTCAAAAAATTCATCTTTTATAAAGAATCCTTTTCTAGTCGTTCTTACTCTAAATATATTGCGAGAAGTTTAGATATCATGAATAAAAGTTTATTTAAGTGATAACTCAACTCACTCTTCTAATCGTGTACTAAATATATCACATATTGGTTTGGGCCAAGCATCTCTCATTGGTTTTCCAAATGCTATTAATTTTAATAAGGTGTTATTTTGGTAAAGTTGATTATAAATACAGTAGATTCTTGCAATAGTCAAATGTTAAAATTAGATGATTTATATGCTTATTGTGAGATTGTGACTAATACGGGTAAAAATTTAATATAAAAACAAAAATTAAGGTGATTATAGCGAGATTGTGACTATTTCGAATGTGACTATTGCGAGAATCGACTATATATGAAACTAATTTGTATTAACCGTATGGATGAAACTGTCGTAAAATTTCTGAAAACGCTATAGGCAAATAGATTAGATATTAAAGCAAATTGAATAACTAAATGGGCTGAGTGCTGGAAAAAGGACCGAAAATAACAAAATAAAAGATCTTCGGAAAATCAATTTTTGTGTTGTAAAT